GAACCTTAAGGTCAGTGGTTCGAAACTACCAGCTGCTCCGCGGGAGAAAGATGAGGCTTTCTACTCCCGTAAAGATTTATACCCTTGGAAACCCTGTATAGGGTCGCTATGGGTCGGAACCGACTCGATGGCACTTAACAACAACAACAATCTACTTTTAATTTGAGGTTTTTGCTACAAAACCCAATAATAATTAAAATATTCTAGAGTATCACAAAAGTCCATATTGGGGAATTTTAACTAAATAATCAAATGGATTCTTCAGCTTTTATTAGGATATATCATTGTAACTTCTGCCTTACAGTTTAAGTACTATATCTGTGAAACTTAAAATCTAGTATTAGGCAATATGCAAATGTAATTTCATGCTGTTTGATGACAATTCTAGAATGGAACTTTCAGAATTTAAGATTCAAGTGAATTTTAAAGGAATGCATGTTCTAAATGAAATTCTTCAAACTATTAAATAGATGTTTTAGTGTAATACTGCTTTTCTGTAGAGCAGTAAATTTAAAGTAACATCTTGATCTTAGTCTGACTTGTGAACTGTAGATGATTAATATTGTTAGGAATTAATTAAACCTTTCAATTAGTATAATGTTTTTATAGAAGAAAATATAATTTTAACTTTTATTTAAAGTTAAATTTGTGATTAAGACTGTGATTAAGACTGATTTTACATTCAACTACAGGTTCTTCTGAGCCCCTACTGGATTTCTGTTCTGGAAACTGTGCTTGAGGAATTTTTCTGTTAGAAGAACTTTGTTGCTACTGTTTTATCAAGATGATTACAACTCCTTTGAAACATCCAGGAATTTATTTGTCTTCAGAGACACCTCAAAGGAAAAATATGCCCATGCATGCAATATTTTTTGACAGTATTCCTTCAGGTACACTTACTCCTGTAAAAGATTTGGTAAAATATCAGAACTCATCTTTAAAACTCAATGACCATAAAAAGAATCAATTTCTAAAAATGGCAACTTTTAATAAAAAAATACTTCAGTCTACCGTGCTAACAGAAGCTAGCACCTCTAGCAGTTTTCTTGATATAAGTGTTATAAAGCCCAATAAGGATCGATTCAAAAATAGAACAAACTATGAATCTCCAGGGAAAATATTTCAAAGGATGAAAGAAAAAGTACAACGTGATAAACAAGAGCAAGCATCAAGCAGCAGTTGTTTTTTGAAACCACCAGAAAGGGAAAGTAATAAAACCTTGGGTCCTGATAGAGCTGAGAAAAGACTGTTGCAGCATACCTACCTCTGTGAAGAAAAGGAAAACAACAAAACATCTCAATCCGGTAAGGATTCACTAAGAGGTTATAAAGTCTTAAGTGCTTAAAATGTGTCAGGCACTGTATTAGGTGCTTGCAATAAAGCAGTGAGCAAAATAGAAAATTTTCTTAACCTCGTGTCGATCACATTCAGGTGGTGGGGAGACATAATTAACACATTTAAAAAATAATTTTGATGGTGAAATACAAGATGCTAAGTGTTATAGAAATAAAAGCAGAGAAAGAATGATAGGGAGATAAAAGGGGTAATTAATTTTTAATAGGTTGGTCAAGATAAGCTTCAATGGGAAAGTGGCATTTCAGGAAAAAAAAAAAAATTGAAGGTAGTGATATTTTCAGATTATTTTGGGGAATGAGAAAGGATGTGCCAGACAAAAGGCCAGCAGAGCTGTGCAAGGAATTGTTTTCCATCGTCACAGTGCACCTGCTCCTTCTTCAAGGGTAGCAAGCGCTATCCTACGAGAATTTTATTGGGGAGCCCTATACCATCCAGGCTGCTGCCCTGATGTTGTACCCTCAGACTTCTTTTTTTATCTCAGATTCAAAGAACACTTAAATGGAACATGATTTGAGTGCTTTGAGACTGTCAACACTGCCATTTTGATGCAGTGTGTACTGAAGAGTACAGCACCCTTTGGGGAATGGTGAACATGCTTAACAACTTTAAATTCCAGTTATAAGGTTAATGTGTCATGCAGTGAATAGACAAAACTGGGGAGGAGGAAGTAGATCAGAGAGAGTCAGTAGACTGTTGGAAAAAAATAGGTGGAATTTTGGAAAGAGATCTAAGCAAAAGAAACATTTGGTAATCATTAGCATCAATATCGTAATTAAAGCTATTAGATTAAATGAGATTATCAAGTAGCAGATGGAGAAGTTACAGTAAAGAGTGAAAGTTACTGAGAAGGAACTAAAGAAGAAAGAAAATCCGGAAAGTGATATTTTAGGAGCATAGAAGAAAATGTTTTGAGGAGGAGGATTTCTAATTGTGCTAATAGGTCAAGTAAGATGCAGGTTGAGATATGATCACTGGATCTAGCAGTGAGGAGGTTAGTGATGATTTTGATGAGTGTGATTTTGGAGGAGTGGTAGGAGCAAAAACTTGACTTGAGAGATTTCAAGAGACATTGTGAGGAGAGACACTGACAGTAGTGAACACAAATAACTCATTACCCTAAAGGGTGGTTGGTGGTGGTTATGCGCTGTGGTGTCGGTTCCAACTTAACAACCCTGTACAAGGTTTCCGAGGCTATAAATCTTTATGGGAGCAGAAAGCCTCATCTTTCTCCCATGGAACAGCTGGTATTTGAACTGCTGACCTTGTGGTCAGCACTACGCAGTAGCAAAGAAATATTGGAAAGTGTTATCATAAAAAGGTTTTATTATTGTTTTTAATGACTGATGAGATAATAGCATGTTTGTGTGCTGTTAGGAAGCATTCAGTAGGGTGGGGAAAACTGATGCCATTGAGCTGCTGAATAAAAATCTACTGGCTAAGTAGAGGTTGGACCTTATTTGTCTTTACTGCTTACCCTGACATTTCCAGTATACAATGAGTCAAAGAAGAAACTGAAACTTAGCATTTTATTTTGTTGTTGAGAATATATACAGCAAGACATACAGTACGTGTAAAATTCCATATTCACTATCCTTTTTCTGAAAATTTCCTCCTCCATTGATATAAATTCACTGCCCCCTAAGTTTTCTACCTAGTTGTTCAAGTTGCTATTGTGATCCCATATAGGTAGATCTTAAAAGAACACAATCCTCATGGCAGACATTCTTTACTAGTTAAGTTAAACTGTTTTTAAAGACTTGAGGCGATATTTTGATTTAAGGTTTAAAGATTATATCATGGCTTCATATAGCCTTCATGGTCCCAGAAATTCTGGAGTCCATGAGAATTTGAAATCCTATTCTGTGGTTTTTCCCTTTGATCAGGAGTCTTCTGTAGAATTTCAGCTCAAAATGTACAGTAATGGTAGCTAGACATCATCCATAGAAAAGAAGGCAGTTAGTTATTCATGGAGGTAATTGACCACATTTTACATATCTTCCTTCTTTCCTGGCTTCCCTTCATTCTCTGTTGCAGCAAGCGAATAAAGGTCAATTGTCTGACTTGGTTGGCTGCTTGCATACTTTTAAGATCCCAGGCACTAGGCAATGAACTCAAGCACAACACATTATTCTTGACACTTTACTAGGCCAAGTAACTGGGATGTCTCATGAAACGATGACCTTATCATTTCTTTTTTTTTTTTTAATGACACATGTTATTTATGTTAAGATTCTAAAGCCAAAGTGCCATACTTAAAGCATAATCATTACTGATTTATTCAAGTATAATATTTGAAATTAAGCTAAAATTGAGTTCTTCCTTCTCTGATGCCACTTGAAAGTCTATTATCTCTCCCCCACCTTTTTTTTCCTTTTTTTGTGTGTGAAAGACACCATTTTTTCTTCAAAAAAAAAACCCCATAAAATTGTAAAGACCTAGGCTGTAAGTATAAAGTGCAAGAGCACAATTAGTCCCTATTTGTCTAATCGATAAGACTAACACTTTTGGGCCTTGGAGGACCTGCTAAAGAAATGTCAAAGGAGTATAAATTAAAATTGAGTATGCTCTTAAGTCTCAACATTTGTTTTTAAAGTAATAAGTTATAGTTATTCAATTGTTTGTGTTTCAGAGTTTACAGTGAACAGAAAAATCATTTTCAAGACTGAGTAGCACTTCATATATAATCTTAACTAAAGCCTCTCATTTTGTAAGTGAAGAACTAGGCTCAGAAAAGTCCTTTGCCTTGTTCTATATTAAATATCTGTTTTTTGCCAGCACCAAAATTATATTTCACATTGCCAAGATTCCAAGTTTAATAGTTGACTTTTGCCTAGAGATGGCAAGTTGTAAAGTAGAGAAGGTTTTTTTGTTTTGTTTTGTTTTAATTTTCCTCAGCATAACATAGGAATACATAATGAGATGAAGGCATGAGTGGATAATAAAAAAAGTATGTGTCATGTATTGAAATGTATTCACTGCTGATCTAATCATTACTGAACCTAAGTGTTAACCTATTTCAAGATTTGGAAAACTTTTTTTTTCACATTCCTGTAATTAATATAATTTATTCCTTCTTTAATAAAAAATCTCAACCTTGTAGACTCATCATATATTTTTCTTCCAACAAAACAAAAGATTCGACATCAACAAGTTAAAAACTAAAATACAAAACAAAAAGCCCTGCCAAGTTTAACGTATGGTAAAGTGCTTTTTGTTTTGTATTTTAGTTTTTAACTTGAATTGTTATATACTGTAGATAATTGTTTTCCCTATGTGGGTATTAAGCAGTGACTGGATAAAAGCTTGAATCCTAAAAGCCAGGTGCACTCAGAGAAAGATTGCACAGGAGAGTGGAATATTCCTACCCTGAAAAATTCTTTTTAATATATACAGTGTATATATATATATATATATAGCTTTTATTGGGAATTGAGTGATAGTTTACATGGGAGAAGATCAGTTTTACACTCATCCTATCTTATTTTGTTTTATTGCAGTGATTACAATCCCTTCTATCAATCAACAGTATTTGCTTCTGTGCCCCCTGGGGTGTTTTTGGGTTTTTTTTGATGTACACAGAAACACTCAGAAATTTATAATCATTTAAACAACCAACGGGCACATTCTGCAAGCCAGACTCTTGGCCACCGGCACACAGCCTTTCTCTTTCCATAAGTCTACAGTCCTCAGCTGTTCTTTATGTCCATGCCATCACCTCCACTTCCTGGTTAGGGTCCCATGTTCTGCTCATGCTCTTCTCTTTTGATGGTCCTAGGGTCCTCTGTTCCTGGACATAAAAACTGTGAAGGTAGAAGTTTTGTAACATATAGGGGGAGTTGTGACCATCACCGTTTGTCATGATAAAAATTACTATTGAATCAAGAGTGTCTTATCCCCATTTCCTTTCACCGGACCCATCTAGACAAAATGAAAACTATTCAGTGGGGATTCTGCCTTCCCCTGCACACAGCCCTTGTACTCTGTTTCTGAGGAGTGGCTGGTGAGCTTGAATTGCCAACCTTGCGGTTCAAAGCAACTTTGCAGTCTAGCACATAAGCCCATAGTGCCACACCATTTCAGGTAACCAGTGTCTAATTTGCCCGTCCCTGTATACCGAGGGGATAGGCTTGATCCTTGAGGTGAAGATGCCTTCCCTCTCAGCTGGTATTTTGAGCTACTACATCCATAAGTCTCCGAGTCCTGGTGTGGCGCAGTGGGCTAATGCGTCAGACCGCAAAGTTGTTTGGACTGCAAGGTCGGTGTTTCAAGTTCACCAGCTGCTCCTTGAAAACCCTATACAGGGGCGCTGTGGGTCAGAATCAACTTCATGCACTTAACAGCACCCATAAGTAAAGGTCAAGTTCATCAAATTGTAGCAAGTTGCACTTGCTTTCTTTATCAGATTCCTTTATCTTCTTATAGTCAAGCTCTGGTCATCAAGTCATCGAAGCTAGGTCAAATGGGTACTGTCTGTAAGTTTGGGCATTCTTGTGCATCTCCCCTTACTTTAATCAGTTGAATGCTTCACTGTCAGCTCCAGCCTTCCATGGCTAGGTCAGTGCCCATGAGCTCAGGAGTTCCCAAATCTCCCCAAACTTCAAACCAACCAGCCCTTCCTCTTCTCTCTCTCATCTTAAGATCCCCAGGAGTCTGGAATGTGGTTGAACTCAGCACATATTTCATTACTGCCTTTTCCCCACTTCCACTCACACGTGGACCAACTCAGTCGCCAGCGAACTCACATACCTGCTCCTGTGTTCCCTTTGAACTTCAGTCTTAGAGGGGGTTTTGTAGTTAAGGGACTTGATTGCTTGCCTTGATAGCTCCCCTGCGGACAGCTTGCTTGTTCTTGTAATAGCCAAACAGACTGCCATTTTTGTATCTGTTTTCGTAATTATACATTTTAAGGTGGTTGTTTTATTTGTTTTTTAATTTTATATGACCCTTTTTAAATTTTATTTATATTTGCTGTTTTTGCAGAGTTTCTAATTCCGAAGCCAGAACATGAAAATATTACAGCTGCAGGAGTCTCATTACGTGGAGCTCAGTTGGCGAAACAAATTTCTCACTCAAAAGAGACTGCATTTGCAACCACTAAGTCCAAAAAGGGTACATTTGTTTTAGAAAGCATTGATTCTGCTGATGAAAAATCCCAAAATACTACTGTTGAGACTCCTACTAGTAATTGTGTTTCTACTAAAAATGGCACTCAGTTAAATGTTTCTGAGAGTCAGGTGACAACAGAAGGCATTTCACAACAAGAAACTATGAAAGGAAATGAAAAAACAATGCCCAAAGAGGCAGCTCTTCTATGTGCTCTGAATACTACATGTAAAATTGTGCTTGCAACTCCAAGACATAACATAACAATACCTCGAAAATCTAAAGGAAGATCAGAAAGAAAGAAAAAGCTTTCTACTCCAAGTATATTTCAAAGTATTACAAATGGAGTTAAAAAAAATAAGGTAAGAAAAATTTAAGGTAGATATTTCTGTTTTTATCTTCATTTTTCAAGTGCTTGAGCTTATATGCTTTCCCATTTCTAACAGTAGCTTCGTCTTACGTGGCTTTTTAAAAAATTGGTATAGAGGCAGCATGACATCTGTAGTGAACACAGATAGTGACAAAAGCCATGGGTTGAGAGTAAGAAGACTTGGGTGTAAAGTCATTTTGCTGTCTTATGGTAATTGTATTATTGTTGTTGTTAGGTGCCATTGAGTCGGTGCCCACACATAGCAACCGTATGCATAGCAGAATGAAACACTGCCCGATCCTGGGTCAACCTCACTATTGTTGCCATGCTTGAACCCATTGATGCTGCCACTTAGCCAATCCATCTCGCTGGGGGTCTTCCTCTATTTCTCTGACCCTCCACCTTACCAAACATGATAACCTTCAGGAGTGACTGGTCCCTCCTGACAATATGTCCGAAGTATGAGAGACAAAGTTTGGCCATCTTGGCCTCCAAGGAGCACTCTGGCTGCACTTCTAACACAGATCTATTGGTTCAGTGGGCAGCCCTGGCACTTTCAATATTCTCCTCTAACACCATAACTCAAAAGCATCCATTCTTCTACACGCTTCCTTATTCACTTTCCAACTTTCACATGCATATGAGATCATAGAAAATAGCATGCCTTGGGTCAGGCGCAACTTAGTCCTCAAGATGACATCTTTACTTCTCAACACTTTAAAAAGGTCTTGTGCAGCAGATTTGCCTAATGCAATTCGTCATTTAATTTCTTGACTGCTGCTTCTGTGAGTGTTGATAGTTGATCCCAAAAAAAATGAAGTCCTTGACAACTTCAATCTTTTATCCATTGATAAGAATGTTGTTTATTGATCCAGTAATAACGAAGGCTGTGCTCTTTGATCTTCATCAATAAATGTTTTAAGTCCTTTTCACTTTCAGCAAGCAAGGTTGTATGATCTGCATATCTCAGGTTGTTAATGAGTCTTCCTCCAATCCTGATACCACGTTTTTCTTCATAGAATCCAGCTTCTCAGATTATTTGCTCAGCATACAGGTAGAATAAGTATGATGAAAGAATACAACTCTGTTGTACACATTTCTTAATTTTAAACCATTCGGTGTTCCCATGTTCTGTTCAAACAACTGCCTCTTGGTCCAGGTACAAATTCTTCATGAGCAGAATAAAGTGTTACAGAATACTCATACTTCGCAATATTGTTCATAGCTTGTCATGATCCACACAATCAAAAGCCTTTGCATAGTCAATAAAGCACAGGTAAACATCTTTCTGATATTATCTACGTTCAGCCAAGATTTATCGGACATCAGCAATGGTATCCCTCATTCCATGACCTCTTCTGAATCCGGCTTGAACCTCTCTGGAAGTTTTCTGTCAATCTATGCTTGTAGCCGTTGCTGTATTACCTTTCGCAAAACTTTACTCACATGGAATATCAAAGAGATTGTCCGATGATTTTCGCATTCTGTTGAGTCACCTCTCTTTGAAATGGGCACAAATGTGATCTCTCCCAATCAGTTAGCCAGATAGTTGTCTTCCAATTTTCTTGGCATAGATGAGTGAGTGCCTCCTGTGCCGCCTCACTTTCTTGAAAGATTTCAATTTTTATCCCATCATTTCCTGGTGCCTTGGTCTTTGCCAATTCCTTCAGTGCACCTTGGATTTCTTCCTTCTTTATCATTGGCTCTTGATTATATGCTACCTCTTGAAACAGTTAAACATCAGCCATTTCCTTTTGGTACAGTGACTCTGTGTATTCCTTCCATCATTTTTTTTTTTTTTTTAATGTGAATTATGTGATAGTTACATGGGGGAATATTAGCTTTACATTCATCCTATGGTTTATTTCATTGCCATGGTTACAGTCCCCTCTGTGCATCATCAACCAATCGAAGCCTGCCCCCAGGTTGTCAGCACATAGCCCCTCTCCCTCTCTGGGTCTAGAGTCCCCAGCCACTCCATCTCTCTATGTCAGCATCTCTGCCTCCATCTCTGGCGTCACTCCTTCTCTGGGTAGGTTTGGGCTCTCCGCTCTTTACCCTTGATGGTCCCAGGGACCTCCACTCCTAAACTGCAAAGTCAATCGCTCCCCTTCATTTGCTACAAAATGTCTACCTTTACATTTCAAACCCTCACAGTCAGTCCTGATAACAGTTCTTCACTATTGTATCACAAGAGACCTATTTGCATCTCCTTTCATCAGCCCCGCACAGACAGATTGGATACTACTCAATGGAGATTCTACCTTCCTCCGCACCCTCTGGATCTAGGCTCCCTCTTGAATGCTTGTAAGCCAGTGACTTCTTGCCTTTGTAGCCCCACCCCCCACTTTGTGTAGCCAATGTCCAAGTTGCCCATCCCTGTCTACTCTGAATGGAGGGGCTGGGAATGATCTTCACTGTAAAGATTTGTTCCCTCTTTTGAGCTACTGCATCCATATGTATAGGTCAAGTTCATCAAATTGTATCAGACTTCCATCTTGGATTGATGCTTTCTGCATCATTCAGTAATTTGCCCAGCTTGAGAAATGATGAGCGTGTTCTTCCTTTTTGGTTTTCTGACTCCAGTTCTTTGCACATTTTGTTGTAATATTTGCCTTTATCTTCTTGAGCTGATATTTGATATTTTCTGTTCAGTTCTTGTACCTCCTGATTTCTTCCATTTGCTTTAGCATATCTGTGCTGGAGAGCAAGTTTCAGTGTTTCTTCTGACATCCATTTTGACCTTTTCCGTCTTTCTTGTCTTCTTAATGACTTTTTGCTTTCTTCATGTATGATGTTCTTGATGTCATCCTACAACTCTTCTGGTCTTCGGAAGAAGGAGTGACAAACTACTTCCATACATTTAGTCACTGAAAACCTTATGAATAGCAGAGAAACACTGTTAGATATAGTGTCAGGAAATGAGCCCCTCAGGTTGGAAGGCACTCAAAATTGGACTGGGGAAGAGCTGCCTCCTCAAAGTAGAGTTGACTGTGATGATGCAAATGGAATAAAGCCTGTGGGAGTAAAGCCCACGAGACCTTCATTTGCTGATGGAGCACAACTCAAAAAGAAGAGAAACAACTGTAAAAATCCATTGAAAATTGGAACGTGGAATGTACGAAGTATGAATCTGGGAAAACTGGAAGTTATCAAAAATGAAATACAATGCATAAACATCGATATCTTAGTCATTAGTGAGCTGAAATGGACTGGTATTGGCCATTTTGTATCTGACAACCACATGATTTACTATGCCAGGAATGACAAATTGAAGAGGAATGGTGTTGCATTCATTATCAAAAAGAACATATCCAGATCAGTCATGAGGCACAACACTGTGATAGGATAATATCCATGCGCCTAAAGGGAAGACCAGTTGTTAATACCAGTAATATTCAAATTTATGCAGCAACCACTAAAGACAGTGAGGATGAAATAAAAGAATTCTACCAACTTCTTCAATCTGAAATTGATCAAACATGCAATCAAGATGTATTGATCATTACTGGTGATTGGAAAGCAAAGGTTGGGTGCAAAGAGG